AGCCTTCAATCCCAAATGCACAAGTAAATGTATATATTATATTCCAAAAACTTAAAGTTTGTAAAAGTAAAATACTTTCATACACAACTGCAACAGCATAGCAGTGATTTATGTCAAATTGATATCATACTTAAATACCGCTGTTTCTAAAGATTTCAGAGTGACAATAGGCAGATTAAAAGATAAACGCCACTGTCATTTCATGCCACTAACAAAAAAATTTTTGCAGCACTAGTAAATAGTTCTAGGACATAGGACCACTCCCATTACTCCACACCAATATACTGAAACATCACTCACAACTGAAAGGAACAGTCAACTGTACCACTTTCAGAAAAGATCTTATTGTGTGCCTCACAATATCACTTCCAAATTGCTCCCATTCAAAGTAAATACTACAGCATCACTGGGAACTTAAGCCACAAGGGCACAATTTGTCAACACACATGGTGACAATGTGGATACAGAGTTAAGAAAGTGACAGTAAGTACCTTCCACCCCCTCCTCCTGCCCCCATGAAAAGAGCGCTCTCATTAATGCATCTGCTTCCCACTCCTCTTTGGTTTATTGCTGCAAAAGGAAGCTTTAGTATCATTATTGCTTTCTTACAAACCTGCAAAGAGTGATGCTTCAATGGAAAATGCTGGAAGAGATAGTTCAGACAAGGGTTCATGCTGTACAGTTAGGAAGGTGCCATCATAACAGTAATTCTAAATTAGGAGGATAACACTGAATACTTTTCAATCTGGTAGTAAAGCCAGTAAGAACTCTAATATCCACAAGAGCAGAAAGTCATCCAAAGCACAAAGTTATTTCAACATCACTACTGACAAAAGAAAGTGAACAATCACATTAGTCTAACTTCACCAAGGCCAGTTTGGTTATGTGCATACACAGGGAGAAAAACAGTTCACACATCTGTTTTCAAACACATAGCCCTTGCTTCTTTTAGAGAAAAGCACACATCATAGATACTAAGTTTACTTCCAATTTGTGCTGCAACAATCTTTCTACACTGTCTGTGAGCCTAGCATCATTGTTTGGAGGTTTTGTTTGTTGGGTGGGTTGGGTTTTTTTTGGGGGGGTGGGGGGGGTGTGTTTTTGTAAAAAAATGCAACTGTAAAACTCAAACACTCAGAGCTCATATGAAGTTACTGTGTTGAGTGTGAAATTGCTAGTAAAACTCCAGGAGAAAAATACATCACAGGCTTCCCCTGCTCACTTTGACTGTAAGTATTGGTGTTATTAGGGTGACATCAAATAAGCCCAGTCTAGAGGAAAATGGTTTGCATTGTTGCTTCCAGATTAAGCCAAATATGCCAGCATTAGATGTCACAGGAGGAAGATTCTGCATTTATGTTTTACATAGTAGAGGAGTTTGGAATTTCCAAAGTCTTCATGCAAGTAAACAGTAGCCGCTCAGCAAATTAAATTGATAAAGTTCTAACAAAAGACCTTCAAGCTGCAAAAGGGTGAAAGACTACAGAAGACATGCATTAGCATTTCAGCTCGGAAGTGATATCATTCTCCAGCCTCTTTCCTTTTTAACACCTCCATCAACTGAAGTCTATTGTAGTGCTCACTCCAGTCAGAGCACAAGAAACAAAGGCAAAGTTAAGGCTATTACAAAGCCATCTGGCTATACTACCAACGGCTATATGACCACTTGCTTACATAGGTTAGTGGACTTCACATTAAAGTCTGAAGTTACAGTACAAGTGACAAGCTGCACAAACTCTCCAGGTTTTCGTCACTTTATTTGTATTTTGAAAATGCATGCACCTTAGCCACAAGAAAACTTTAAGAAAAAAAGCCGTTGCATTTCCAGCATTTAAAAAGCTATTTGTACAAGGCAGAAATGTAATCAAGTACACAAGTTCAGACAGTATCGAAACTTGTCCTTGCTTGAAGGGTTATGATTGCATATCTATGACCAAAGTGAAGTAACCTTCTCCAACACTTTAGAAGGTGTGGCCCTTAAGTTTGCTTATAAACTTTGTGGCTAATTTTAGGCATGAAACAACAATCCCCTACAGACTCACATAACTGCTTAATTCCCTCTGCAATACTAGTTTTTTTGTTTTGTGTGGGGTTTGGGGAGGTGCTTGTGTATTGGTTTTGTTTTGTTTAAGAAACACGTGGATCTAATAAAGTGGCTGAATAAAATCTCATACTATCTGTACAACTACATCAACAAGTAGTGCAGATCAACAGAAGAAAATTTGTAAAGCAAGGTACTTGCCATTAAGGACGAACGTCCACCATCTATGCATGTCAATGATTTCTACTTCAGAGCAGACCAGATCACAACCACAAGTGACCAGGATGCGTGAACTGCTCTCCTAGAGCACAACTTCCAGTTTAGTTTCATCCAAAGATTCAAATTTAAGTGCTCCAAGACCATTCCATGATGTTAGCCAAAGCACAGCAGGTAAGGATAACAGATTTGCTTCAAAAGAACATTCCCAACTCTAATTAAAATACTAACACAGATGCATCCTAAGTTCACAGTTATTTGCACAATATGAGCATATTATTGAAACTGGTGTTCCCACAATTTCTTCATTCTATTTAAATATTTTACAGCTGAAATTGCAGAGTTTCACTTTATAGATGACAAATGCGAGAAAGAGACTGGAAATAAGTTAGCCTCTCAAGTGTCCCAAAAAAACTAATGTAAGAAAAAGTGTGGGGGTCTGGGTTTTTTTGGGGGATGGGGTTTTTTTGTTTTGTTTTTGGGGTTTGGGGGCAGGTGTTTTTTTGTTTGTTTGTGGGTTTTTTCTTTGTTTTGGGGGGTTTTGTTGTTGGTTTTGTTTGGGTTTTTTTTTGTTTGTTGTTTTGTTTTGTGTTTTTTTAAATACAGCAGCCAAAGCAGTGTGTATCACCACAGTGCAGCAATGCATAATAAAGAAGATACATCAAGCTGTAAACTCTAGACTCTCCTATGTACTGTTCAGCAGCAGAACTAGAACATACTATCCCACTGCATCCTAGATGCATGGAAGGGTGAGTCCTGAGGTTTGCGTCTAAAGACAGGCAACCAGAGAAAAAGTGACTGTTACCTCGGAGCCTGTCTCTTTCCATTTAATATGCAAGTTTTTCAAGGACATGATAGATCTGTCTTACATTGTTCCTTGTACAATAGCCATTTCTGCCCAGCAGCTTACTAAAGAGGAGATACACAAGACAGTAAGAGAAACTGAATTAATTATCAAGTTTATATTAACCAGCATGCTTTATCCAGGCCTTTTTATATGCTTTGCCAGCCAAAAATGCTTGTTCAGAGATGGAAGGGCAGGGAAGGTCCTGTTCTAAAGAGCCCGCATTTTCAAAGAGGACTGTAAGCTTCCATCTTTGCTTAAGTAAAGAGCTTTAGTTCCGATAAAGGCCTAACATAGTTCAGGAGTGCAATTCACTCTTGCTCGTCAAAGTCTGACTGACACAGACTTGGTGAGGGGTGGAAGAGGTCCAGTCATTTAAGACAAGTTGCATCTTGAATCACTGTGTGATATCACTGTGTGATAGCATAAGTAACAGATCACAATGCACCAAAACACCAGATGAGGAACTTTCTTATAAGAAAATAGTGCTACCCCTAAAATTCTTCAATTTGTCTGACTCACTGTAGAGCTTCTCCCTGGAATTCTACTATAAAATCTGAATAAACAATAGGTATCTGAAGAAGAATCCCCCGCCCCATGTCCAAATAACTTGCCTCTAGTTCTTTATTCTAGGGAGAGGGTTTTCACCCCAGGACAAGTTCAGTGTAAAAGGAAAAAGTTGGTAGGGCAATATCTAACTTAAACATCCATTCAGAGTTAGAGATAATACAGAATGGAATGAAGGGTTCACCATGCCTCAGTTAAAGGAAGAACATTGTCCAAAAACAATTCTAGCCTGCAAAATAATCAGCTACAAAAGGCAGCAACTTCCCCCTCCTTATGCTACAGAAGCCCAGGAGAGAAGCCTTGTGTTTATCATCTGCTTTTCCATTTACAGTAGAGTCTATTTTAGAAAAAGTGAAGCTGCATTTTACAGATTGAATTATTCCCCTCAAGGTTCCTTAGAACAGCTAGCCTCCTTCATCCATTCAACAATAACCTTGTTCTCAGTTAGACTTTATACCAGTAAGAAATACACCTTGTCTTCATTATACATTATAGCCCGATTCCTTCATAGTAAAAAACTTTATTTTGTGCCACTGACCTGCAATATTTTAACACTCTTATACCAAAAATCCCAAGCCCAAGATACACATATTCAAGCCAGTAACATCTCTGAGGACATAGAATACAGACAGATACTGCCTACCATGATACTATAACCTTTCTTCATTAGACTAATATTTTAACAAAATTAAAGGAAGGCTTATCCATACAGGCTTCACTCACTCAGATGAAGACTCCTTAAAGGACATGGCAATAATTACACAGTCAGCATCCAGAGAAAAGTTTCAAGGATCTTCTTTGTTCTGCATTGTAGAGGCAACCACTTACAGAACAAATACAACCTGGTCCACTGGCTCACTAATACAAGTATATTAACGGATGGCAAACCTTTTGTTCTTGAATTATTCAAGAGCTCCACAGGATTAACATGCAGCGCAAGAGAACAGAGAGATGCCAGTTATTCAGTCTTCTCCAACAGGGACACAGATTTTCCCAGATTTCATACACCAGACTCTCCCTGTCTCCCCCCCACACACTTTTGTTATCAGGGAAGGAAGAGGGGGAAGGAATTTGTTACTACCTGTGATTTGTGGAATATTGCTCAGTTACACTTTTTCCCCCATAGATATACTACTGCTATTCTATCTGAACATGCATGATAGCGAGTTATCCATGTTTTCATCCCATGCAGTAACAGATAGCATTTCAGGGGCAAAAAGATTTCACGAAGTTTCAGTACTTGGATTGCAGGGTGGAAAACTTCATTCTCTAATTAAATCACATCAATTTTGCTTTTATACATTAAAACGTACCCATAGGTAATAGTCATACCTTCCTCCTACTGCGTCGTCTTGTGGCTGGGCCCCAGCAGTGTTCCTCTGTGAACGTCGCAGTGACCCCCCTGGATTGTTATTAGGCCGGTTGGACATTGGCACCTCTCTCCTGAAGGGACATACCCTTTCTAGACACTATCATTCACTGAAAGACAAGAGAAAGAGTCACAAGACATGAAGACTCACAGCCATGCCTCAAGAAGCAAATGTAAAATGCTATTGTTTAAGCAAAAACTTAAGACAAAAACGTTTAAAAAATTTTTAGTTAAAAGGCGCACGGACCAAGATTCTTCTCAAGAGCATTTAGATCCTTAATACACAGCAACCAGTTTTCAGTATATATAGCATACAGATGACCTATTGGACTAGACGACCTTTAAAGGTCCCTTCCAACCCAAACTATTCTATGATTCTATGATGACACGCTTCTTTTCTGGCAGGCTTCTACAATTATGTTAAGACGACAAGACAAATGCAATTCACGAGAACCTGTATTTGTCAACATTAAGGAAAAAACACACTAACTAGTAAAACTCAGTGCTTAATAGAGAGCAATAGTAATTAAATATTTTAACTCTCATTGTGAGAGATGACAACGCCAGTTTCAGGAATAAGCAGCAGTATCCACAAGATTACAGAAGTAACTTAACTACTGTGCTTTTAAAACAGCTTCTTTCTCTAGTCAGATTTATGCAACTGCCATTTGCATAAAAAAAGATACATAGTAATTCAGGAAAAAGATGTAGCTATATAAGCAAGAAGTTCTTGCTCATGAGAGCTTTATTAGTGGGAAAAGGTATTTGAAACAGAAGAATTAATGAGTGCACACAATTATTTAAAAAAAATAATCAATATGATGGCTTTGTATTACTGCTTTTGGAATTGCTTTGTGACTGCTAGAGGTCTACAGATATTAGTTTGGTAGTTATTTATGGAAGACCATAACAACACACAGCTGCAGTCCTCAGAAGCAGAGGTATTTCAAGACCAAGCCTCACTTAGCTCCTCAGTGAGGAGAGCTAACTTTTGTATCTTGTGCTAAATTGGTATTTCTATACAGAGAGCATAGCAACAGGACCACAACCAGCAAATCCAGTTTTACTGTTTCTAATCGTGTGGAATCTGGTAAAAGAGGTATTTGCAAGTGAAAAAAGCCACAAGAAGGAAAATAACCAAAGTTTAAGAACACAATAGTCTATATGCTGATTCAGTATCTATTATATCTATAGCAGAGTAAGCAAGAAGTCTGCCAGGAAAAAAGTTTAAAACGTTTCAACGGCAGATAACTAAGGCTTAGTTCAAATTCAATGCCTCCAATAAAATAACTCTCAAGACCTGTCAGTAAAGCCAGACAATACTTGACTATAATTGTCTATTCCTCTGAAAGACTCTATAGAAGTGAACAAAATTGAGTAGAGGAAAAAAAAAAGAATCCTAAATGATTCTGTTTTACTGTAGGCCATAAGAAACCAGGCACATAAATTGGTATTATGCAAACCATTACCTCACATACCTAGTACAATGCCAAAAGGAACATGTATATGACCGAGACACCTGCACAGCACAAGAAATTAGTGATCAGAATTCTGCTGGCTCAGATTCAGCCTTATTACACTGTAATGATACAACCTAGTACGAAAAGCTCCCGGTTAGCATGCCAGAAATATTTTAAATAAGCTCCAGGAATCGAATAAGAATACAAGTTAGGCAGAAGAATTGCTCCCCATCCTAATCCCCACATCACAGGAGTCAAAAGCATCTTTTGAAAGTTATTCGTGTTCTTTCCACTAAGAGGTCCAACACAGCAGCAGACAGCAAAAGCAGAAAGTAGGATTAATTAGTAAATCATTGTCTTTACCTCATTTTTTTTACCTTATGCTTAGGAACTTTAAAGAATATAAGTAGAGCACAAAATACACAATCCCACAAAATACAGTTGTTCAACGAACCTCATAGCTAGAAGTCTTGATGACTGGGAAGTTGAGAAAGCTGTAAATCCTACTCCTCAGAAGCTGAGCTTTCCCTTCTTCATGATTATTTCTCTTATCCTAGCTCCTTAATCATAGCAAGTATTCCCACTAACAGAAAGGTTTAAAGCTTTTAAGTAACACACCTTCAGACTACAACTTCTTATACTTTAGAGCACAAAAAGATTTTCAATGGAACAGAAAAAGCCTGCTATAGCTGGAAATTATGCCAGATTGCTGGTGCAGCCACATTCCTCAGGTTGAGGAGAGCGTAAGTGGTAGCATTCTCTGCAGAGTACGCTGCAGATGCAAGACAACAAGCCTAACATTAACCAGGCTTAAAGCTGACCAAGGTTCCAGCACTACCTATGGGGTCTAGCTGAAGTCAATCACAGGCAGTGCCAAATACTGTTGTGCATTCTCTTTACTTCTTTGTATTCAAACACCAAATGAAAAAAACATCTTTTCATAAACATCACCAAGGAGGCATCTTGTGTGCATTTTCTGAAAGGAGGGAATAGTGTCCCCTCCTGTACAAAGGTCAAGTGAGGTTGAAATTGAGTACTAGTGTCAAACTATCAGTCATACTACGAAATGGTTGCCATAGATCCATTGTATCACCTTGTACTGACTATAAGAAGAACATGCATTCCAGCAGGTTTCATTCTGCAAGGAGCTGTGCTCACTCTAGAGCTCTGCTAGGTCAGCCACATGCTTTCCCACCTACGGCCAGTATGTGGGTTCTTCCACAAAATACCAGAAGAGTTAGCTGAACAAAACATCACATGGGCAATCCTGGTGCTGTCTAGGGAAACTTTAGTTTAATGTTGACCTGTCTGGGTGAGCCAGCCACTTTAAGTAGTCTGTGCTTAGAAGTTACGCAGCGCAGTGTGTTGTCATACACATGATATTTTCATCTGTGTAGAAGAATGAAATGGCAGCTGTTTTATCCTGTTAGGCATCTGTCAAGTCAAGATGATGTCCAGAGTTACCCTCTGTACTGAAACATCTCACCTTAACTGCATTTCTTATTGTGTAGTGTGTTACCACATGACTCCCAGTTTGCCTTTAAATATAATGCTGCTTCATGATTCAGCTACGACCTTTAACATCAAAACATTAAGTCTCACTGCAAGTATCTGAAGCCACACAGTACCACGTGCTCAGTTAGTCCAGTAGGGAAGAGATCTTTTTAGTGGGTCACAACGTGTCTTCCACATGCTAGAACAAAAAGAAAAGAGCCCTGAGGTTCCTAAAACTGAACTGTTCTCATTCAGACTTGTCCCTCCATCTGTAAGCCTCACTCCCAGCACTTGGCTTATTCCTCCCCCTCTTTAGATACCTAAATTTAAAGGAGATGCACAACCCAGTAGATCAGCTGAATGTGCCAGTGCAGTCCTGTCACATTTTAAGACTATTTCCTCAATTACATTGAGCATTCTCCCCACACCCACAATAAAAAAAAGCTACAACTGTACATCAGACCTCTGTGCTTCAGTTGACAGGCTTTGCGATTTTAGAATTTTAAGTTCAGGACCTCTTCTAGCATTACATTTTCTGGAAACAACCTATTTTTGTGAGTGTTTCACGACTCCGTATTCCTAGCCGTAATGATGCCAAAGCAGTGGCCCACAGATGCTCTCCTCATAAGCAGACTCTTTAGATTGAGAATGAATACTAAAAACCAGCATTTCAAATAAACCCACAACATATCTTCTGAAGACATCTAAGAGCAGTGGCATCTAATTGTTATTATCTTGCATAGTATTCTTGAGTTTTAGTAAACACTGTTTGATTACCATTAACAGTCATCTTTGTTACTGTACAGGAAAGCAACTAGAATTAATTTCTGTAGACCTAGCATACCTATTACAAACATTGTAGCTAATGTATAGCCAACATACTACTTGGAGAGGTTCCACAGGAACACAAGATACAAAAACCACCTGTCAACTTGCAGTGAACCCTTTACCTTTCTTCTCATGGAAAAGTCAACAGGAAGTGACTGACACTTTTCCATATTTTTGAAGCAAACAGAGGAAACAACTACAGAACAAGCCTGTATCGGCTTTTACTTAACACCCAAAAGCACTCCCTGAAGGATACTGTGAACTGTGATGTAACCTACAGAGAGGAAAAGAGAACGAGTAAACTGAAGCACTCCAACAGGCTCTAGGGCCACTAATAGCATAACAAGGCAAACCAGTAATAACCCTGTAAAAATGGAATTGAACACTTTCACAATAAAAGGGCTTCCCTTCATCTACTTGGATGAGCTCTTGTTTTTGTTTAGGGTTTTTCTGGCGGTTTGTTTCTGGGAGTTTTTAAGTTCTTTGCAAGAGTACTACAAGAATTTTTCAGGCTCTTGCACTCCAATTTCCTGAATATAGGATATGCCTAGCACCTCTGCCTACAACACTCCATTATAATGCCTGTTACCTGCTTGGAGTTAAGTACACTGGTCGGCATACTTTCTCTTTTGTACTTCGGCCCAAAAATACAGTGCCTTACTTAATGCTGCTGTAGCAAGCCAGCTTCTCAAAATTGCAAAGTCTTACTGCTCTGAAGTCAGTATTAGGCAATCAGACAACGCGCATGCCACCAGACTGGCTTGGGTGGGGGGGGGGGAGGGGGGGGGGGAGATAAGAAAAAGACAGGAGGATGTTTATATGCCTTGTTTCAGAACATTTTCTTCCAGTAAGTTGCACATCTTGCCAGCCAGAACCCAGAGTTCAGCGTACTTATCAGAAAAAGTTAAGTCTAAGACTTCAGATTTGTATTCTTTCACTTCAATATCGATAACATTAACTTACTTTATCAGCTGTATCTGTGACAAATCTAGTCAGTGAAGGTAGAAGCAACATTCTAAATATACAAGCATACAACACATTTAAGAGTTGAAACTTCAATTGCAACTAAACTGAAGAACTTACTGCATATGGTTCAGTAACTGCTGAATTGTTTTGGACCTACATTACTTCATTTTAAACTGATCTCATAGCTGCACCTCATTTTTGCTCACAAGGTTCTCCTCATTTACCTGCAAACATACACACCTATTTTCTTGCCTTGCAAGCAAGCACTTGCAAGCACTCACTCAATTACTTCTACTACTTCACCAGCTGACTCAGAAATTCATTAAGAGGACTTTTTAGTCCAGTTAGTTGCTTTAAACTGAGT